CCAGCACCACCGCCAGCACCAGCACCAGCAGGACGTAGGGAGGATCTGGAGGTCCTACGGCTGCTCTTAAAGTCAATAAGGGGAAGGGAGAGCCTTCGGCTTTATATGAAGTATTTCTATTTTTCAGGATTTCAAGGAAGGGCTGGGCTCACAGTAATAGAGCTTGACTATTGTGTTCAAATCCTTGGCCTTTACAACCAACTGACATCAATTACAACCTGATCTAAATCCATGCAAAGTCTAGCCGAAATCAATGAGCAGCAAGACGTCAGTTAGAAACAAATGAAAACGTATTCAAGCCGATGTGTAATTGGTCAAAATCGGCTCAAACCCCTTAAAGCCAATCACAAACCATAGTGAAAACTACTTACAAATCCACTTACACGCGATTAGAAACAAACTAGAGCCGTCTCAGATTAAGAGGGTCTGCTGAACTACCCCCTTGAGAATTTGATTCTCTAGCCTCCTGGCCCTTTTAGGAGCCACTCCTCTGTTTCCATCCCAAGCAAGAAGTGCCTGCACCTCCCGAATACCCGTAATCATAGGTTCCTTTAGCCTTTAACGGGTTTATATATAGCGGTCATGTAGGGTTTAGTTTTAGATCCCACAAGTATCCAAAATATTGGCTCTGTACCACAGAAAAATGATTGGCACATAGGCCCTGGTTTTAGGTCTTTAGGAGGTCGGGTACAGGCTTCGCTGCGAAATCCTTCAAGTTGCTTTACAGATCCACATGTTTCCTGATAGTCCCTCCAAAGGCTTATTCCTTAATTGAGGGTCAGATATGGTTGATTACAGAATTAATGTAATACGATATTACCATATCTCCAAAGGCACAAGGTATTCAGGGCATGCAAGATAAGCCCTAAACACTAGACCGTAAGATCCTCATTCAGTTCCTATCAAGGTGGGCCTGCCCTTAATCCACACTAAACACTCAACCCCAAATCCTGCAGCCTGGTTAACCACCCCGAGCCATAAGCCCCAGCTTCTTGAATGGTGAACATTAGGAGGACCCCCCACTAATAGTGACTCTGAGGGAGAATAGTGATTATATCGGTCGGGTCTTTTGATATTCCTGTTATACCACATTTACAGGGTCGGGAGTCCTCCTGAGGTAAACACCCCCATTGTAGTACCATGTACAAGGGGGGGTTATGTATCAATGGGGGGTTGGATAGGGTTTATGATGCGAGGCGTTTACTAATTGAAACCTAAACACCAAACCTTAACCCTGAACCCTAAACCCTAAACAGTTGAACCCTAAATCCGTAAACCTTAAGACCCTAAACACTCATCCCTCTAAACCCTAAGACTTAAACCCTAAGCCCTTAAACCCTGAACAGGCAGAGGCAGAGAGATGATCCGGGCAGAGGTGAAGGCACTTAGGTGGCGAATGGCCAACAAGATTGTGGTTTTCAATCTCTTCATTTTGGTGATGTCGGTGTCGGCGATACAGGTGGCGTGGGGCTGTTCAGGGCTTAGGGTTCAGGGTTTGGGTGAGGGAACCCTAAACCCTAAACCCTAAACCGCGGCGCTGGATCTTCTGCAATTCCCACCTTGACGCCCCGTACCCTCAAACAAGGCGTATAAGTAGCCCGGAAGAATGGGGTACCGCATGTTCGGCTGAGGGGAGTATATCAGATCTTGTAAGAAGCCCGGGACTTGTATGGTGGCCTGGACGCTTTGGGAAGAAGGGTCGTGCATTCACAAGATGCCGCCTTTTTGCAGCTGGGACTCTTGAGGAGATTGTGGGTGGCGCTTTGTGAAGTACTTGCACTCTGGATGTCCTTCTTTTTTGGGGATTCTGTCCTATACTGCCCGGGGTATATCCCCAAAATAGGCAGGGCATCCGTCCAGGTATGTCATGATTGGGCGTAAATATGGCACCTTACCCAAGCTTTCAAGTCGAAATGCTTGCAGGTAGTTCCGGCCTTACAATACCAAACCAGCGCTGCGCAGGGCTTCCGGGTTCAGGTGCTGGCTTGTTTTGGTACTTCAGGATCCGGCAGCGTTCTATCAGGTAGTAGGACATGTGTTACGCTAGCTATGAAGCGGTCAGTCATCCCCGCAATCCCTCATAATTATTGAAGATACCTTAAAGTATACGGGGTCCTTAAGATGATTTAAGGTATATTCCCGAATTGAGGGATATTGGGCTACTTGGGAAGTGAGCCTATGCCCTAAGCCGCTTAGACCTTAAACCCTCAATCCCTAAACCTTATAGTCCCCCTTAAGTAGATAGAATATGGCTTTGGGTAAACTATACTAAGGTCCCCATATACCCCATATTCTATCTACTTAAGGGGGACTATAAACCCTAAGTGAACAGACCCTGAAGATGCGAGTCATCTTCGAGTTGCAAGCGACGATCTCGAGCTCACTCACCTGGACCCTTGCAGGAAGTCTCCTATGGCTTCTGGGTTAATAAGGATATATCGGGGGTATAGGGTTTGGGATAGAAATAATGATTCTAACAGTAATGATAATAAGTCCCTTAATAAGTAAACCCTTCAACGTACTAAAACCCCATATTCTGGTAACTTACTTAAAAATTCTCAACGGCAACCCAGGCTTTCGGTAGCCTACGTCTTTCCGAGGATGGCCAGTATCGACTTGTGGTATCTTACCCTTTTTTGCGGGCAAGCTTTACTGGTGCTTAAGGGGGAGTGGGGAAGTGAACATAGGTACCATTATGGGAGTACATAAGGGTTGCTATAGGGATCCACTCCCCCACTCTCCCGTAGGCACCCGTATGTAATTAGTTGGTTGTTGAATATGAAACGCAATATAAAGCAGCTCTGCAGATACTGGATGCCTGAACCTTGTGCCCTATTCTCTATAATCCTTAAACCTTGAGCCCCACTTGTTTCCACAAATCCTTGCAGATGACCTGAGGACCCTAAACCCTAGCCCCCCAAATCACATTAGAACCTAAACCAAGGTATATTGTCTACTCCCTCATATTAGTCTCCTACATTCTCCCCATGAACACCAGCTGGGAGGGAACTGGTCGTGTGGTTCCCGTGACTGGGTTGCTGTTAAGGAACTTTAACTTAAGTTACGATGAAAAGGGTATATAGGGTTTTGGGTTTAGGATTGCTATACTGAGGAAATCCTGTTTTTCATTATACCCATATTCTGGTAACTTATTTTAAGTTTCTTGACAGCAACCCAGGTGATGTTCGTGCTTTTTCGACTGCCAGCTGTCATCATTGTGAACCGAATCTTGGTTCCAAGATGGTTTGAGCTGGGTTTAAAGTTGAAAGGTTACGGCTTTAATTTGGGGCGCGCGCAGGGGCTAAGCTCAAGATTCAGGGGCTACGGGGTGACTTCAGGGGTTGGTTAGGGTTTAGCACTTCGAGGTTAGAGGTTCTAGGTTGGGTGTACGGGATCAGATTTGAAGGATACTTAGAGACTTAGTCTGGGTTGCTGTTAAGGAACTTAAATTAAGTTACCATGATGGTACAATTAAGTTCCTTAACAGCAACCCAGTAGTGTGTAGCGCTGAGGGAGGTGCCTGATTGAAACCACGTCCGAGAAGGCGTTGGATTTGCATCTTCGAGCTTGGGATGCCGGAATTGCGTTTTAGAGATGCCGATATATAGGGGTTATATAGGTCATATAGTACATATCTTTTTAAACAATCTAAGCCTCCGGGCCTTCTCCCAAAATTAGGGGTACCTTTCTGGGGGTCAATATAAGGATTATCGTCTTTGGGGGTCCTAGTGAGGTCCCTCCGTTTCAAGTATGCATAGTAAAGATGTGGGTGGGACCTAGGACTGTACTTGGTCTTTGTCAGCAACTTGCCCTTTTTGGTTGTCATGCTGTATCGAGTCTGGACCTCAGAGCATGATGAAAGCTACGGCGGTCGAGTCCTCCCAGTTGGCATCGAGTGCCTGCATATGTTGGTCTTGGTCGTTTTTGCTGCAGCCTTACGGGATTATTTGACTGGGAGAGTGGAGCTTGAGATTCAGAACTGCAACGCAGTCACCCAGCTTAACGCTGCCTCTTCTCTACTCCAGCTAACCTGCGATGCAGTTGTGGAGTTGGATGCTGACCTGTGCCTGACAAAGCACTCGCAAGAGCTCGCTGCGATGCTTCTTCGGGACCCCGGCGCGTCGCTGGAAGGCCCGTGAGTTCTACCTGTTTTGGTCCGTTTTTTGTTTAGAATAATGGGGGATTTGACCATCCGGAATAAGGTGATTCCAATATAGATCGCAAATGCTAGAACCTTTATTCCCGACCCCCAAAATGGTACCCCTAGTTCCCACATATCATAAAGCCCTGTGCCATAAGATCATTGATGCCATGCCCCCAGAGAGCCAATGTACGCCATGTATGAGCAGCATAGCATGTTCCATGTGGATGTTCTAGTCCACAATGCAGCGGGAGATCATGTCCTGCTTGGGAGAAGAACATGATCTTACCGCGTATCCTTCACTTGAAGGATCATGGATGGGTAGGTATTAGTGGCGTTCACAGACTCATACCAGGCAGTAGAGTAAGCATAGTTGTCCTCATTCAGACTCCACTTACAATTGCCCACGAACTTGTTTAGCAGGCGTGCGCTTCACGGATCTGGTACCACCAGCAGAGTCCGCAAGTGCTTTGAAGCAGCTGACACATTTCCGCAGCACAGCATTCAGCAGCTGGGTGACAGTTCGACTGGGGGGTTCCAGTTCCAGAATAAGACTTTACGGCTTCAGGGGGCCCTGTTCTTGGGAAGGACCTTACATCCAGAGCCCGTTGTAATGCTACATGTGCGAATGTTTCCCTATGAGGAGCCAACATGATTTGATTCTGCGACTGTTACTGGAAGAAGTCTTGCACAGCTTGGGGTCCCTAGTTCAGGGTTTAGGGTTTAGGGTTTAGGGCAAAGTCCTATGGAGCATGGCTGGAAACAGGGTGGTGTCGGATTTCCTGCATCAACAGCATGTTCATACGATGGGGTTACCAAGGCACGATTAAGGGTGGATGCTGGGATCCCTTAGCTTAGTACAGTTCCTAATGATTTCCCTTAAAATCGGAACCCTCATGCATTAACTAGTTTGGAAATACTATCTCCTAGAAAGTTTCCAAGTAATTGTCCATCACATATTTGGGAAATGCTGACTGTAGTTCATGCGAATATACTGTAAACCTCAAATCCGAAACCCGAAGCCCTGAACCCTAAACCCTCAATCGTAAGACCAGGTGGGAGCCAATGGCAGGAGCGCATGTCTGCCCATGCCTTTCACACCCGCTTGGTTGACAGTTTCTGGGTTGCTGTTGAGGAAGTTTTGGGTTTAGGGTTTACTGTAAATTACAGTTCACACGATGAAGGGTTTAGTGCAATAATGGGACAACCATGTTGTTTACTTCATCCCTGCTACGCTATCTTGACTCTGAGCATAGATAGCTCCTTTAAGGGAGCCCATATTATGGTAACGTAATTAAAGCTCACCCTGAACCCTACACCTTAAACCAGCAGCAATAACCCGAGGCTGGTCCACAAGACTCCAGACGGAGGTTCTTCAAGTCGTGTATAGCAAGAAAGATGGGAAAACCTGTCACTTGGTTGGTCTCCGCGATTTCACAGATACTTGCCTGTCCAGTGGGCAACCTTCAACCTATTTTGGGTGGTTATTTAAAGCTCAGTTCAAAGAAAAATGGTAACCCTAAACCTCAGCCTCTAAATCCTAAACCCTAAACCTGAACTCTACACCTCAACCCTAAGCCTCGAAAACCTAGGGAAAGCCCTAGATACAACAACTAAGGATACTCGGCCCTACGCCCGACGCATGCAATATATGGACCAATGTGAAGCCTCTGCAAGCCTGCGTAGCCTGCCGAGCCACAGCTGCGCAAGATTTTGGGCTAAGGGTGTAAGGGGTGTAGTCGGGTTTTGGATTTGGGGTTTGGGGGTATACGCCAATTTTGCATTATTGGAGTTAGGTAGGGATTACATGAGGATATTTTCCCAAGAATGGAGAAGCAAACGGAGAAGAACAGGGAAAATGGGGCTACGCAGCGGTTTATCGCGTTATCCTTACGGGACCAGAACACGTGTATGAAAGTATGTGTTCAAGTTCACGGTGAATATACTGGGAAGTTTAGCAGTTTAGCAGAAACTGGGCGCCCTTACAGTTAGAGTTCCGGGTTAAAACTTGCTCTTGAACCCTACCTGTAGCCTCAATGACGTATGGGTGATACCCATTCAATACAAGGTTTGGTTCTACAGGCAAGCCCTTCACCCTAGTCCTCATGCTTGATAATATAGGGGCCTAAAGAATTACCAATATTATGGTTCCATATTCCTTGTACAATTATAGTATAGGGTACCTCAAATGGATCTCAAAATGAGATTGGTAATTATTTAGGCCCCTATATTAGTCTGAAGTTGCCGGAAAGCACCACCAGGTGCCCAGCATGTTAGGCTCAACTGAGCGAGAAGGGCTCTCAGAACTAAAATGCACAAAGCTACCTGCTTTTAGGGGCTTTAGGGTTTAAGTTTGCTGCGTTTGGAAATTATGGCCAGGAGGCTTGATGGATTGGGACAAGGAAAACGAGACTTCAGTGCAGTTCCTCCTGCTGCACCACAGTTGCCCCTGTTGATCCATGAGGCGCTTACAAAGGCCCTAATGGATCTCCTTCAGGAAGCCCAGCTACTTCGGTGCGCTTTAGCGATGGCCAAGACATTGATTACAACCAATTGGTGGTTGGCGGTTTCTCGTTGGACACCCCCCGCAAGGACATCGAGTGTGCAATGGCAAAGTCTCGTGAGCTGTGGACACCACAGTACAGGGAGATGGTCACCAAAACCTTAGTCCGCGGCCAGAAGGCCCAAAATGCCCATATCTACTTGCAGGAGCTTCCCTTGGAAAAGGCCAAGGAGCGCTTCTTCCACCTCCAGCAGCTCTATGCTGACAAGCTCCCAACTGGAACCGGACACTCCTGGATGTCTGCAAACAAGTCAGCAGAGAGGAGGGCTCGGAACTGGGCTACACGCCAGGCTCTGAACTTCTTGGAGTCTCTGTTGCACCGCAGCATCCCAGCCGAAGACGTGGACTGGTCCACACAGCTCATTTGGCTGGGGAGACATCGGGTGGCAGCCACTTCTCGCCAGAGGCTTCTCGCAGACCGGTCGCCGGTCGCACAAGATCGGCAACAGAACATTCAAAGACCAGTATGGACAACGATCACTCTGTATTTTCGACCTTTCCTTGCTTGCGAGCCAGGCCAAGTTCCTGGAGGGTGATGTCGAGGCCAGACTCCACTCTTTCTGAAAATCTTCCACCGAGATTGCGAAATCGCAGCTGCAAGGCCCGAAAGCCTGAGGTCGTCACCTTCGCATCCTGGAATACGCAAGGCAAAACTCTACAAAATTTAGATAACTGGCTTGATTTGTCAGGTGAAGCCTTGGACTTTGTTGCTCTGCAAGAGGTTGGGCAACTGCATGCCCTTAAGGCAGTGACGGACTATGGTGACGCTCTCAAACAGTTTGAGTTGCATGAAACACATGAAGTCCATGCCGATTATGTGATAGGCATCTCTGCTATGGACTCACACCTTGCTCAGATGATGCTTCTGAAGCGGGACTGTGTTGAACACATTCTTGGTACTTGGCGAGGAAGAAGACATATGTGTGTTGAGTTCATGTCAGCGGAAACCCGTCGCAGAATGGTCGTGGCCTCGTGTCACTTTCCGCACAGCAATAATTCAGATGATGATTTCGAGGAATCCTCAAGGGAACTCGTTAACGTAACAAACAGATATCGCGGCATTCCAATGATTGTTCTGGGTGACGATAACTGTGCTAGGGGTAGTGACAGGGCTTTACTCCTCGACTCCTGTGTCAACACTAGATCGGGTGTTGTCTACCCCTCAGGGAGGCCCACGAGATTCGGCAGGCAATCCTCTGCTGAGCTTGACTACGTCTCGGTAAATGAGTGTCTCAATCAAATCATCCTCCAACATTCTCACGCTGTGCATGTCCGAGTTGTTGATCACTCCAGCCAGGTGCTTGGCAGTGATCATTGCTGTGTTCTTGCAGAGCTCTTGTTGCAAACACCGGAAGCCACTGCCGCGGTGAAGCATCGTAGGAGGCGACGCTGTCGAAGGCATCGGTGTAGTCAATGGTCTGTAGATGCCGACAAAGTGGCAAGCATGGTCTCTGCTATGCGATCTTTCGACACCACTGCGCTCGATGCGCAGTGGGAGTCCTTGCAGCGGATGGCAGTGCAATCATCTTCCCCAATGACACCGCTAAGGTATAAAGATGACGAGTATCTCAAGCAACTTTGTCGGCGCAAATGTGTCTGTACTGATCCTCAAGAAAGAGCCTGCCTGACCCGTATAATCACAGCCACTAGACACGAGGCCAAGACTAGATGGTTGCGAGACCTTATGCAGCGCGGAAACTCCGGCGACAGCGCTGCCATTCGTTACCTCAAGAACCGCAATCTTGCCCGAGGGGATGCCGAAGCCTTTGTTCGAAATCATGATGGCCTCCTTGGGGCAACACACGCATTCAAGCAGCATTTTCAGAATATTTTTGCCCCGACCCCCGAACCTACAGATACAGCCGAGTTGCAGAGCTGCTTTGTCTTTTTGCAAGAGCGTGCGAGAGACCATCCAAGTAGACCTCTCAGTCATGATGAACTGCATGCGGCCATTGCTAGATTGAAGACTGGCAAAGTCTGTGTTTTGTCAATGCTCTTTTCAACTCAGATGAGCTACCTCTGGCTATTCATGAGTCCTATGTTGCTCTACTACCCAACACATCGACTGTGTTGCAGCGCAAAGATTTCCGACCGATCAACTTTCTGGAGACCATTCACAAGCTCTTCGCGTGGCTCCTAGTTGCGCGCCTGCAACCAGGCTGGCAGCTACCGGATGTCCAACTCGGGCGTCTCAAAGGGACCCAAGTCTGTGACGCTTTGGCTTGTGCCCATGCTCGCATCACCAGGGAATCCAAGGAGAAGTTGTATGGGGTCTGGCTTTCCTGTGATGTTCAATCGGCCTTTGATAGTATGAAAATGAATCGGATTGCAAAGTTCCTAGTGGAGCATTCAGATGAAGGCTGTGGACAAGAGGCGCTACAGCTTCTCAGGCTTGTCACTGGTCCTCTGCTGACTCAGTGGCTGGATCAGAGATGGCGACTTCATCAGAGCTCGGGTGTTCAGCAGGCAGGTAGTCATTCAGCGCTTCTTTTCTCGTACATTTAGGAGTGGCTATTTCTAGGTTGGACAAAACGTGGAGGGAACGAGGTGAGCCATGCATTCATCAGACTTTCGCCATAGCTTTTGTAGATGACCTTTTGCTCACCTATGCGAACTGGGCGCAAGCTGACCGTCTGACGCTGGAGTTACAGGCCTGCTTGCGTGATCTAGGCTTGCAGCCCAATCTGTCCAAGATCTCGGTGATGACTCACGCCAGTCAGTTGGCAGCTGGAAAGGATCATGAGTTTACTCAGGACTGCATCATAGCCAGTATACAGTGGGTAGAATCATGCACGTACTTGCGCAAAACCCTGCAGCACCTTGAGGTAGGCGTTTCAGCTGTATTCGCCGCACCCGGTGATACGTCTGCTATACTCATTGAAGCAATGGGGAGGTCCTGTCATGCAGCATACGAGGGTCTCAGCAAGGC